ATTTACCACAGTGAGTGAGCTGGCTGTACTAGATTAACATTAGTGAGTGAATGTATCTGTACTACTAGCTGTATGAGTATGATTATATGTATATGTGTACTCTTCTCCCACTGGTGTTGGCAATGTGATTTGAATTATATCATCACTATTTTTCAAATTTGTTTGCACTTGATTATGTTGTGCCACAGTTTGTGATGCTTGTGGTATAGCTATAGATTGTAATGTAGCAGCTGCATCAGCAACCTCATCTGATGTGTTCACACTATTAGCATTAGCAACTTCATCTGATGTGTTCATCGATGTCTCATCCATGGCAAGTCTAGATGACAAGTGTAATTGTTGATTATTGGTATCCATATTCATGAGTACATGAACTACATTCATGTTCAATTCATGTTCAGTAGAATCAGTTTGCTGACTTTCCAGATGCCCAGTGGTATTTCTCATGATCTTTACCACATCATTGTTTGTTGTCAATACGGGAATGGAACAGTTCTCTGATACTGGTGACAAGAAATCACCCTCTTTCATAATACCAACATTGTGCACCAAAGTTACAGACTGATTACTATTTGTTTCTTCCTGTTGTAAGGAATCTTTGGTTGATTTTGTTCCTTTTTTATGTTTGTTTGACACATGCCAATTTAAAGAAGCTTGTTGTCTACACCTAAAATCACAGAGTGCACACTTCAATGGTTTCTCATCAGTATGAATGTAATAATGAACTCTTCTATTTTTACTATCACGAAAGCGTTTGCCACAGCCAGGCCAACTACACGCATAGACCTTTACATCTGAGTGCGTATGTAAGTGCTTCTTCATGTACCTCTCTAACTCAAACACTTTGTTGCAGTCTTTATATGTGCAAGGGAACTTAGTACCAATGTGAACTTTCATTTCATGTTCTTTCAACTGTGTGCGTGATTTGAAAGCTAGATCACAATTGTCATAGCTACATGTATGGGGTGAAACCGATGAATGGAGTAGAAGTTGATGGTGTGATAGGTCACTGGGACTCTTGAAAGTTTTACCACACATCTCGCAGCAAAATGGGCGTTCATCTAGAAAAGATAAAACAATGGTTTTTAGTATTTGTTGAGTCTGCAGTCAGGATACATAAATATATTGACAACCAACCAACCTAAAAAGATTTGCTTTAACAAATGTACCATGTACATGTACTTGTCCTATTTAGCGCCCCTGCTCGACTAATCACCCCCACATTTTGAGACATTCCTATCGACTAATCACCCCCCCACATTTTGAGACATTTCTATTGACAAATCACCCACTCCCCACAAGTTGAGACATTTCTATTGACTAATCACCCACTCCCCACATTTTGAGACATTTCTATTGACTAATCACCCACTCCCCACATTTTGAGACATTTCTATTGACTAATCACCCACCCTCACATTTTGAGACATTTCTATTGACTAATCACCCACCCCGACATTATGAGACATTTCTATCGACTAATCACCCACTCCCCACATTTTGAGACATTTCTATCGACTAATCACCCACTCCCCACATTTTGAGACATTTCTATTGACTAATCACCCCCCCACATTTTGAGACATTTCTATCGACTAATCACCCACCCCCACATTTTGAGACATTTCTATCAACTAATCACCCACCCCCCACATTTTGAGACATTTCTATCGACTAATCACCCACCCTCACATTTTGAGACATTTCTATCAACTAATCACCCACCCCCCCACATTTTGAGACATTTCTATCGACTAATCACCCCCCCCCACATTTTGAGACATTTCTATTGACTAATCACCCACTCCCCACATTTTGAGACTTTTCTA